TGAATGCAATGTGATATAATAATGATTTAACTATACATACCCATATCCACCAACTGCATAAATGTTCCCGTTGAAAACAAAGCTTCTGAAGCGATATCGAGCCGATATCATCGGTGCAAACATGGTCCAGGAATTGGATGATGGATCGTATGTTTCAACAGTTTCCAGATCCTGACACAGATCATCTCCACCTTGTATACAAAGAGTAAAAGTGTGTCAATATCAGCACAAAGCTAAGTCATTCACTTGTAAACCAAACATCCAAAATATCAGCTTTTGCATGTACTCAGAAGATATATCTCATACCACATAAGCTTTTATATAAATTTAAACAACATATCACTGGGAGTTGGGTAAATATTTTATGTAAATATCAGCACTGAGGTTGAATATATCACTATTTAGAAGAAATATTCCATAAAACATGAGTATTTTTATTTTGAAATAAATTTATTGCCAAGTGCAAGCAATTTCAATTTTAGCGAAAATCCAGATCAGTTATTGCTTCTCATGTCATATAGAAGAAATGTCTAAAAAAACAATATTTTAAAAAAATTAATTTGAGTCATATTTATGCAATTGCGATATCAGGAGTTGAATCAACTATTTGATTGAAAAGAAAAGAAATCATCAAATGTGACTGCGAAGTTTGTAAATTATTTTGCGACTCAAATAGTTTGTCTGAATCTTGCTAAGCCTTTGTCTGAAGTTACAAAAAAAACTTCAATTTCATAAAATTCATGTGTATTTCAATGGCAATCCCAGAATAATTTTCATCTGCGCATATGCCTAAAAATAATGTTCGAATATGTACAATATTAAGTTATGTTCAATTTTTAAAATGAAGACATGTGTCACGTTTTTGTTGTGTAATATAATAAGAAAAGAAGTTGAATTTAATTCATGAAATGATTTTTTGTAAAGCAAAATTATCAATTACCAGATAGACTAGAATTGGGTAGGATGTGTAAAACTGAAAAGTACGATCTAAAACTTAGAAGACCAATCTAAAGCTTAGTCAGGTTTTTATCATCTCATTGTCATCAATTTGGGTGACAGCATAATATTGCAAGGTATCAATAAACTTGTGCCTTAGACCAGGGGTGGGCAAACTGCGGCCCACAAAGCAAACTTGTGTGGCCCGCAGAAAAGTGACAATTTTGAATGAAGTTTTACTTGTAAATGCCCTAATCCGTTCTAAGCCCCCACAAAACTCAAACATAATATTTGTATAAATTATCATATTGGTTAAAACTTGTAAGGAATACATGTTCGAATTAGATTTCTGTAGAATAAATAGAAAAGGTACATCTGGAAAGATGAAGAAATATTGAATAAAAACTACGAACTGTATATTTGTTTACCTTTGGCATTGGCCAACTAGGCCAGCGGTTCCCAACCTTTACCTATGTTTGATAAAAGCGTGGCCTGCAGTTTCACAGAAGTATTTGTATTTGACTCTCCTGCGAAAAAGGTTTCCTGATTTAAATAATTATCTCGCGGGACAGTAGGGTCGATAAGAAGATTTGATTATAAGTGAACCTAGGACTCTCCTGTTACCAATCAGGCTTGGGTTGCATTATCTAGTCATATATTTTGTTTAAATAGACTTGATAGCGGTAGAATCCGTAACCAACAAGTGGTTATGAGAGCCACCCTATGGCGCCGAGGAGTCCAGTGACTCTCTCGCACATAATAATCAACCACAAGATTTAACGCACGCAGGGTAATCAATCAGAGGTGCGAAGAAGAGCGTTAGCACAATGCGTTACACTGCCGAGCCCACATAGGGTACTGTATGAAAACCCTAATTCAAAAAAAGATTATGCGGTTGCAGTCCAGACTAGTGCATACAGTACTGACATAGTGCACTCAGGAACACCATTACAAACGAAGATGGGAATTTTGAACTTTCAATTTATTAGTATTAAATACATCGGATTATCAAAAGTAAACACATAAAATTTCTACAGCGGAAAATATTAATTATGCCACAGCTGTTAATTATTAATTTGAAACACTAACTCATTTGAAAAATACAATCGCATATTTGAGAAGTATTTAAAAATAAAAGGTTTCGATTGTTACATTGTGGCCTCATAAGAGTTTGGCAATCATTTCTATATTGCATACAAATCTTGGCACAATTTCTACTATTTTTCATGTAGGAGAGAGAGATTTGAAATTATTTCGAAAACATGTCTTTTCATGAAGTTTTACACTTTATTGGCAGTCCTATTTATTCAAAATTTATAACTTGAAGCACCGGTATTCAGATTAGAATAGTAGTAGAAGGAACATTTGTATTTCACTGATATGGCATCGATCAAAAATTTAAATAATATCTATACGAGAATTGCCTTAAAAAATCTAGTCAACTTTAACATATAACTCATTGCTTTCGACAACAGAAAATGCATATTTGAGAATTAAACCATTAAATTTCAATTAAGACAACTATTTCAAGGATGAACATAAAATTTAGGTGTAGTATCTATAACCTCATTATAGGTATATAGGAATTCATGGGAAATAATTCAGATGATATGAGACTGATGTTGAAATTTTATATTACTGGCGTATTATAACCTTAGACTGAATGATATCGCAACAAGAACAATATTATATGACAATTTTTACAAACTAACCCATTTAATCTAACTCGAAGTCAATTCAGTCCATGTCGAACTAGAAATCCTCCTCCAAATGTACTACCTATACAAATATGGAGGAATCCCACAAATAAGATTGATTGTTATTGTAGAATTGATCAGAATATACACAAGAAATCTAACAAACAGTGGAAACAAAAATCATAGAATAAAGAAACTTATTTTCGCAACTTGAATTAATGGGTTTCATTATATCAGAAATGATTAAAAAAAAAATCAGGGAATGTAAAATTAGATTTTTATATTTATCCCAGTGATTAAAAATAGAGCCCAAGTGTAAAATATTGCAAACCGAGTAGCCTTTAGCTTAGTGCAGTGGTTCCCAACCTTTTTCGTTAAATTCCTGCCCTTTCTTACTTTGGAGCTCTTTTGCCTCCCTCACTATGCATAAATAGTAATTTAATGGGTGTTTGGCTCAGTAGAAATTGTTATGCACAAGTTGCATTCTCACATTTGTACAGTGCAAGTAGTTTATAATGAGTGCATAAATAAGTATTATAGTAACAAAACAGACCTCGACAATATTAGTAATTCCGCAGCAAGGGCAAGGCAAATTTCCTTCTCAAGACCGACAAAATTTCTCAGCGATTGGGAAACAATGCCCTAGTGAGTGTAAATGCTGGGAAGCAATGCTTTTCACAATATTCAAGACCATAATTCGGCGCGGCGGTGTGGCTCATCGTGCTAAGCGTTAGGAATACGCTCGCCACCGCACCTCTGATTACTCTGCGTGGGTTCGCAGGTTCGAATCCCATGCAGGGATGGTTATGAGCGAGAGGATCCCCGGGATAAATATGTAAATCCTATCCTGTCCTAATTTGATCACACACAAACTGATATAGTTGATATAAAATAAATGAAAGTTCTGGGAGAGAAGTTTTTTTCGATATTCAGGGAGTTGAAATTACAATCAAAAAAACATATATTTGAATGACCAGCAAAATATAAAAATGGTCATACTAATTAAAATGAAGAATTGGCAGCTATGGAACGTTCGATAGTTAATATGGCTGGTGAGAATATTCATGAGACTTTTATAATCACTGATTTCCTTATATAAAGGTCCATATCTTCAGGAATGTCAACCATCACCCAGGTTTACTTCTCAGAAACACTTGATTAATTTAAAATATATAACTCGAAGTATGGGTATTCAGATTACAATAGTAGCAAAGTGCATAGGGAACACGTGTAGCTCACTGATTCAGCATTAAAAACAATTAGGATGCGTATTTTAGAATAAAAATACATGAAATTCAAATTGATGGTGTGCAGACGAGAATTTACTTTGACATATAATTCACTACTTTCGACAAAAAAAAATGCATATTTGAGAATAAAAACCCTCAAATTTTAATTAAGTTAACTATTTCAAGGATGAACATAAAATTTAGGTGTAGTAACTTCATTACAGGCATATGGGAATACTTGCATTCATAAAAAGTAATTTAGTTTACTTGAAAAATATTATGCTTATGGTGTGGCAGATGTTGAAATCCTATATTACTGGCACATTTTAGTTTAACCTTAGACTGAATCATGTCGCACCAATAACAACATTGTTTTATCTAGCAATTTTTTCTATCCTAATGCATTCATCTAGTTCGTCAATAACCGCCCTAATTGGAATCCCTCCAGTCCATGTCGAACTAGAAAACCTCTTCCAAATCAACTAGTAACTCCCTCTAATATGATATATTGTTATTGTAGGGGGAAACAGAATATACACAAGAAATTTAACAAACAGTGGACACAAAAATCAGAAATAAAAACTTCCTTTTTGCAAACTGAATTAAAGGGTTTCAGGAAGTATTTTAAAAATCAAGGAATGTAAAATAGGATTTTATATTTATCCCAGTACTTAAAAAAGGAGCCTAACAGTAGAATATTTTAAACTAATCCCCAAGTAGTTCTTCCCATAGTGCAGTGGTTCTCAATCTTTTTCATTAAATTCAATATTCAATGGACCCTTAGCTCAGTAGAAATTGTTATGGCAAATTGCACTCTCGCTTTTGTACAAATCAAGTGGTTTACAATGTGGTATTATAGTAAAAAACAGACCTCAAGAATGGTATAATTCCACAGCAAGTGCAAGGCAAAATTCCTTCTCAAGACCTACAAAATCCCCAGGGTTGGGAACTTCGCCGTAGTGAGTGTAAATGCTGAGAAGCAAGGCTTTCCACAATATTCAGGGCTCCAATTTGGCGCTGCGGTGTGGCTCAACATGCTAAGCATTAGGAATACGCTCGCCACCGCACCTCTGATTACTCTGAGTTGGTTCGCAGATTCGAATCCCATGTGGGAATGGGTATGTGTGAGAGGATTGCTGGATTTCTTGCCGTCGTAGGGTGGTTCACGTAGCCATCGGTCAGTTACAGCTTCCTCTACCATCAAGTCCATGCTTCCAAAAACAAATAACTAACTAATCCCATAACCGACATGAAATGGTAACTGGTCGAGAGGCCGTGGTAAGCGATATGGTTAAGCAGTCTTATTGGCTTTCCTCTCCCTCAAGATAAATATGTAAATCTTATCCTAATTTGATCACACACAAATTAATATGAGTTGATATAAAAATTGGCAGTACGTCGAGAGGAAGGGTTTTCGCGATATACAGGGACTGAGTTCAAATTACAATTTGAACAGAAAGAATATTTGATTGATTGCAAAATACAAAATATAAAAATCAAGTGCCACGATAAACGGGAATAAAATAATTAGAGACTGTGGAACGTTCGAAAGTCAATATGTTGGGTGCGAATATTCATATGGCTTTTATTTTCACTGAGTCCTTTATATAAAGGTCCATATCTTTGGGAATGTCAACCATCACCCAGGTTTTCTTTTCAGAATTGTATTTTATGGTTTTACTTGTTCTGAAAGAAAGATAAGAACAAAAATAAGTCACAATACTAAACATAACTACAGGCTTCCAAATTTGTTAAGACTCGTGAGAAAGACTAATTTGTTATTGATTTGCCATTGCCAAACCCATATGTGGTTCTCAAATGGTGGGGGGTGCCCTACAATTGCGTAGAGGTGGTATGAAACTAATTGAAAATCAAACTATTTGTTAGATTTGATCCCCTTGGGCACAAGACTAGACGTTGACAAATTCTGAAAAGATGGCGTGACTTAAAAAGTTTGGGAATCATCGGTATAAAGCATTCTTGGTAAATCATAGATTTGAGTGTTGGCTGCTTGACCAACGTGAGTCCAAACCAACCTGAGTTACTGGAGTTCTATGTTGGATTTAAATAAACAGCAGTGGGAGTCATTATTTAGGAACAAAACTTCATGGTAGGGGGATACTTAATAGCACTAAGCATCAATTTGCTAATTTATCCGAACCAGTCATAAGGTATTTGATAATCATATTAAAAGCAATATATTCCAGTATTGCTATATATTGGCCCGGCAATTTGGAACACCGTGCTAAGCTTTAGGAATACTCTGGCCATCGCACCTCTGATTACCCTGTGAAAATTCGCAAGTTCGAATTCTGTGGGGGAAGTTTATGTGCGTGAGAAATGCTGAACTCCTCGTCATTGTAGGGCGGTTACTGTCCTTGGTGTAACTCCAAATTGTATAATACAGCCCGTTGCCCAAAACGTACCAGAGTGTTTTATTACTGGAAACAAAGCATTCTATATGTGTGCGATTTGACAAGTTGAAAGGTTTAAATGTAGTTTTTTGACTCTTTATTCGCAGTAGAATAAAACTAAAAAAATTAGGGAATTTTTATAAAGGGTAGGTATAATGTTGTGTAAAGGTAAATAATGACAGAAATAGACCTGAAAATAATAAACCATGTCCCTATTCGATGTGGAGTATGATTCAATTTCAAAAGCTGCTGTGAGGAATTTCTGAGGCACATCAAGGATTTTTTGCCTTCTGGACGACCTGGCTGCGCCCGTCATGCAGGAGGGGGTTACAAATTGGATCCGCTATGTGAAACAAGCTGCATATATTTCTGGAGTTATTGCAACCTCCATCACGAATGATCATGAGTATTTCATATCTGAGGACTAAATACTATATAATATATTAACATAACAATACATACTTATATCCACCAACTGCATAAATGTTCCCGTTGAAAACAAAGCTTCTGAAGCGATATCGAGCCGATATCATCGGTGCAAACATGGTCCAGGAATTGGATGATGGATCGTATGTTGTAACAGTTTTCAGATACTGCCTCCCGTCATATCCACCTTTTACACAAAAAGTAAAAGAGTGTTAATATCTGCACGAAGCTAAGTCATTCACTTGTCCACCAAACATCCAAATTATCAGCTTTTGCGTGTACTCGGAAGATATATCTCATAAAACATAGGTTTAGATATAGATTTAGTCCATATGTGAGTGAGAATAAATATTTTTGTGTGAATATCGGCACACAGCTAATTGATCTGAAATAAACAGGCATCAAAATTACTAATCTTTGTCTGCTTTAGACGTAATATATCATAAAAAATGTGTTTATTTTTTTTAAATAAATTTATTGCCAAGTGCAAGCAATTTCAATATTAGCGAAAACGTAGATCAAGTTATTGCTTTTCAAGTCATATACAAGAAATATCTAGAAAACATTATATTTAAAAAAATTATTTTAACTCATATTTATGCAATTGGAATCGAATCAACTATTTGATTGAAAAGAAAAGAAATCAGATGTGACTGTGGAGTTTGTAAACAATTTGTAACTCAGATAGTTTGTTTGAATCTAGACGGGGGTGTCTGAATTTTGGAAAAATACCTTCAAATTCATAAAATTCATGTCGTTTAAAAAATTCAGCAATTCTAAAATAGTTTTCATATGCGCATATGCCTAAAAATCATGTTAGAATATGTACAATCTTAATTTATGTCGAATTTAAAAAAAAAAGGCATATTGTTATGTCATATTTTTTTGTGTAATAGAATAACAAAGAAAGTTGAATCTATTTCATAAGATGATTTTTATATAAAGTAAAATTATCAGATGCCAGATAGAGTGGATGAAGTGAATTGGGTGGGATGAGTAAAACTGAGAAGTCCGATCTAAAACTTAGGAGAAAGCTTAGTCAGATTCATCTCATAGTCATCAAGTTGGTTGACAGCATAATATAGCAAGGTATCAATCAATTTGTGCCTTTGACCAGGGGTGTGCAAACTGCAGCTGCGGCCTGTGGGTCAAATGCTGTCCACAAAGCAAAATAGTGTGGTCCTCGGAGAAGTGACAATTTTGAATGAAGTTTTACTTGTAAATGCCCTAATCCGTTCTAAGCCCCAACAAAACCCAGACATAATATTTGTATAATTTATAATAATGGTTAAAACTTGTAAGAAATACATGTTCGAATTAGATTTCTGTAGAATAAATAGAAAAAGTACATCTGGAAAGATTAGAAATATTGAATAAAAACTACGAACTGTATATTTGTTTACCTTCGGCATTGGCCAACTAGGCTAAACTAAACGAAGACCATGGAGAGTGGGAGGACGGCGCAGTCGGAGGAGGAAGCTAAAGTTGACAGCTGAGAGATAACGTAATGTAAAAATGAGCACACACACACATGAAACTCAAAATTTCCACCTTTTTTCATTTCATTTTACTTTTGTTTCAACTGTTATCGTTATATCACTAAATTTTGCTAGAAACACATTGTACATGCCCACAGGAAAAAAATTAGTCAATTTAAAGACAGACAATTTATCGCCACGTCGCACACAGCTGCTTTCGAATTACGATAAAAAATAATAAAATAATTGTAAAATGGTTGAAATCAGAACAGGAACAGGATTGTTAGCATATGTGCATCATATTTCGTATTCTTATAAACGCGAAAAACGATATTCGAAGGTTGCGATATTAAAATATTGAATTCAAATTGGACATCCCTTCCTCAAGCACTGCATTAAATTAACCTACAATAAACAAATATCACTACACTCGATTTGCAAGTTTTCGGCTTTTCGTATGTAGAAAATCCTACATTGGCTGAAGCAATATTTTTACAAGAAGAATTTTCATAGTTAAATTTTTTGTATCCAGAGCCTTTTATAGGTAGAGTTTCTATGTGCGGCCCGCTTCTTCATCCACTTATTAGTAACTAGCCCTCCTGTAATATAGATTTGATACCCTTGCCTTAGACCACAAAAGCTTTTCATGACCATGCTATGTTTGAAAATGAGCTTTCTGTTCAAAAGACAGATAATGTTGCACCACTTAACAGGATAATCTGAATGAAATCTTACTGCCCTTACTCTGTTGCTTTGTCAGGCGTATTCAAATATCTATCTTTCTCGTTAATAGGTAATGTTTGAAAAGGGATAGAAATTCTTTACTTATTTACAGTAATTTGAACTTTTTTCAATAAATATAGATTTTGCTACACCAGAACTAGTTCAATTCCAGCATTGCTTGTGGCTTTCGTTAGTCAGTGTGTAGTGAATGAATACAAAATGTAAAAGAACAAACCGGCAGGATAAATTAAAAGTGCTTTGATATATAAAATTATTAAACTCTACACAACTGTCTGTTAGTATAAAACTTTATAATCCAATCATTTTGGGAAAAGAATTTAAACTGTTATCTATATTTGAATGAACTTGTACAACTCACCAAGCACATAAAGTTGATTCTGAAATTCCACAGCAGCAGATGCTTTTCTTGCATTCAGCATTGGTGAAATGAAACTCCATGTTGATGTATTTAGATTGAAGCATTCAGCTTTGTTGGTTATACTTAATCCTTCATCTCCTCCCAAACTATAAATGCTTCCTGCAATTGCAAAAAAAAAATTCTGGCTCCTAGCATAACAGCAGCACATAATATTGGGATTTTAAATGAAAATGTGTAATATCTGATGTAAATTTTTAAAGTTTGTTCAAAGAAATATATCAACCCCTGTTCAAAATGAAAATCTTGATCAATAACAAAGCATTCGTTTCAGCATTTACTAGCTTCATGAAGTAACATACATCGGTAGTTGAACATAAATAGTTCTGAATTAATGTTTGACTACAGATTTGTTTAAATACCGAAATATTTTTGCTACAAGAAATAATAGAAATAATTTTAGATAGTTCCAAACTACCATAATTATTACCAAAAAGTGTACCAAAACCACAATATTTATTTAGCTGTATACATTTAACATTATGAAGTTCAAACTTAAAAATTTTGTATCGGTTATGTGATGTTTCAGCCTATTTCCGTATGGGATTCGTTTTTAGGTGCAATGAGGGTCTTTAAAATTGCACACCATGTACCGGCTCCGCTTCTGTGTTAGTCGTAAAGGTCACCGTACTGGTAGTCTACAGTGACACATTGTATTACTGTACTACTTCGATTTGGTCTTCGTGTCCATATATTTGAGCATCACTCTCATGTTGAATGTTTAAGAAGCAGTTGTGCTTTTTGGTTGATCTCACTCCATGGTGCACTCTGGTATTCAAGCACTCCATTTTTGTTTGAGTACCGCAGCATTTTTGGCTATTGATTTCAAAAACTTTATAGGAATATTTCAAATTAAAGCCTTTTTACACTTTAAAATAAAATACTTAGTGAAGAAATTTTTTTTTGATTATTAGACCATATCGAGCTTCGCTACGGTTGCTATGTATATAAAACATGAGAAAAATTAATTAGATGGGAAGCCATGTATCCACACATGGACAAATATTATTTATCACTTGGCAACACTTCTTGTGTTAAATGGTTCCGACGATCTCATATAAGGCGCGATTAATATTTATCTTGAACTACATTGATAATGAACTTAAAAAATGAAAATACTTTGCTCTATTCCACTATACGTGATTATGTTCTGCAACGTGCTAAGCATTAGGAATAAACTCGTCATCGCACCTCTGATTAGCATGTGTAGGTTCGCAGGTCCGAATCTCATGTAGGGATAATAATATGCGAAAGGATTGCTGGACTTTTCACCACCGTAGGGTGGTTTGCGAAATTGCTGGTCGGTTACGGCTTACGGCCACCATCAAGTCCATGAATCTGAAAACAAATATGTGACTAACTAATCCCAAACCCGAGATGAACTATTAAGCGGACAAGAGGCCATGCTTTACTATATGAATAAGCCATATTAGCGGCCTCTCATACATAAATATGTAAATCCTATCCTAGATGTTATAATATATATAATCTTCCAAAGGGGTCTTGCATTGAAATTTAATTTTATCAAAAAAACAGCCATTCCAACATAGCCAATTGATATTTGCATTCTTCTATTGGACAGCAATCATTGGAAAATATATTATTAACCTGAGTTAACTCAGAATACTTAGTCGACAGACGGTGCTTCAATTTATCCATTTTAAACCGTCATTTGATGGGATTTTTCAACAAAAAGCGATATATATCCATCTGCATGTTAAGTACATTTGATAAAAAATGTCTATTATATTCTTTATTTCTTTGTGATTAAAACTTGACTATTTCAAGTAATATTGCGCAATATTATTCTCAGAAATAAAACATTCGCCAATCTATGTTTTCAGTCAGCTATGCTACTAAATTAAATGGAGGTTGAATTATCACATCATAGACTCCTTGCTCTTAATGCATTTTACAGAATAATTAAAAAGCCAGAAAATCAGACTCACGATATCTTGAACAATCCCACTAATCGAAATATGATGGAGATGTTTTTCAAACACTCAAACAAACTAAACAAAGACTCTGTACATACTCTCTGGCAATGTGCAAGAAAATTTGATAAAATAACCTGATTTGAAGAAAACATACCTTGCATGCAGATGACTGCTGGACCATCACATTTAACATTCTTGCTCTTCATTTTTGTCCACTGGTTTCTCAGAGAATCATACTTTTCCACTGTTTTTGTTTTAGATCCCCAACATCCACCAACAATCCAGATTTCACCTGATATGTGAATAGAACTTTAAATTGGATATTTGATGTTTTTATTAAATATGAATATATTAAGTAGGCATTGGCATAATGATAAGGGCATTGAAAAGCTTTAATCCCCAACACAGCAATCAAAATTCGTCTGCTTAATCTGAATAGAGACTCTTACAAGTTCACAGTAGAGGTGGGGGTGATGGCCTCAGGAATCGCTCAAGTTTGGATGGCAGAAACCAGAACATAGTATGTGTACCAGGTTAAGGTAAGGCCATAATTTTATTACAATTTTATTTTAGTTTAGTTCTTTTACGAGGTCAAAGACTAGCCAAGTGACTCCCGTAGTATTTGTACCTGAACTTATGGCCTAACCTTATCCTGGCACACATACTACATTTCGGTGTCTGCCATCTTGGTTTGCATACTTTGGGAGTACCAAAATTTCATTGTCATATTACATTACAATTAATCATATTGGAAATGAATTTTATTCTTGGATTAGTTGGAAAGAAACCTCTGTTTATATCCAATGCTATTTGTTTACAATAGAAGCCAATAAAATACCTTTACTGCACAAAGAGTTGGTTTTATCGCTCCACTCTAATTTAAGACTTTATGATTACTCAAATTGGAAAGTCAATTCACCTACAATGGAAACTTAATATGCTCACATTATGAATATTTTAAATTTGTGTTAAGAGGCGGAAAATGGTTTGAACAAATTTCACTTGAGTATTTTGCCAAACTCTGATATTACAGATATTTTATAAACAATGTATCTAAGACATGCCATGCTTTAACCTCAGTTGATTATTAGTTCGAAAACTAAATTTTGTCATTGACACTAAATTATATAGATTTGATAAGAAACCTTAAAAATGCATTGAATTTATGATTACTCCAGACAAAATATTGAAATATTGATTATTCATACACTGAACATATAAAGTAGTGAATATTTGGAAAAACATTAGTATTTGGTAATATGAATTGAAATAAAGAATTATTCAATCAAATGTCATTATTTGAGGTATATACACTACTAACCATCAACCAAAGTCATTGGTGGGAACCAGCCATGATTTTCGAATGGACTCTGCAATTTCTCCCATGTAGCATTAACATTGACATATTTGAGTCGATAAAATGAGTTGTCTTGAACTAAGACATAGATATGCTGATTCAATGCAATAGCAGAGAACCATTTTGACTTCATATCTTCATCCATTTTCTATATAAAGAAAGAGTTTTCTGAGTTTCAGCTCATTACATGACACATATACAGAATGGGAGTTTGAGATTTCTGAAAACTCTACTGAGATCTAAGTTCGTGTTGCAAGTAAAGATCCATGGTTCAAACCTGATGACTATCACCAGGGATGTCAGTTGCGAATATTTTATTTTCGATTCAAATCAGAATGTGCCGATTTGTTTATTTACGATTCTAACTCTATTTATCTACCGATGGTGTGAGATAATCGTTAATTATTGCCGATTTTTGACTTTCCAAAAATGGTATCAGCAGTGTTCGTATCGAAGGCTTGTTTATAGCCATATTCAGAGCAATGGTAAGGGTAACACCCCATGAAAAGCCTTTTTTATGTCAAAATGGAATCAACGCTATCTTTATCAATAATGAGCTGCAAACAAACTCAATGCATTGGGAGAAAAATATCATCCCCCATATTCCGACCATTTCCTGTGTTGCAAAAATTGGCTAGATGTCAGCCTATCATGTGGGCCAGAACAATTAGAAGGTTTCATTGGCGCATGGGGCCTCATTTTATATATTCAGCAAATACCAGCCATTAACGAAAGGTGACTGCAAATGAATTAGTTCTCCACTACAACAAGCCCATTTGCAATGATGTTTGCAAAGATTGTGACCTTCCATGAGCTAGAAAGATTTTCCAGTGTGGTCAGTTAGTCATGCAAAGCTGATGATGCTTACCTGCATTTGCTTCCATTCATTTGACCTTGGATTGAACTGTTGGAGATGGGAAGAGGACTTGTCAAAAACGACCAATGCATCGTCTAAAATATAAAAGAACTATAATGCTTAGGTATGGTGGCCCATCGTTGTCACGCGTGAAATTGAAAAAAAAAAAAACGTGAATGAAAAGAAAATATAAACGGTTGACAACAATGGGCCGCCTCGTGGCCCATCGTTGTCACACGTTTTTTTTTGAGAAAATTTGCTTCGGCTCGGGACCAACGTTGTCATGCATAATCCTACGCGCACAAACGGTGTTCCCTGGGTTTCTAACTCATTACTGATTTTCTTGAGCAATATTCAATAAATTTGATATGCAAATGTTCTATAAATTCTCCATGATACAAGTTCAACTAGAAGTAATATATATATTTAAAATATTGATAAGAATATAGAATTGGATACGGAAATTCGAGAAATTTGTTTTTACGTGTAGAAGGTAATTGAATTGGAGAATGCTGCTTAAATACTCAGTTGTCCGGACACTCGTGCGATACCGATACCGAAGCTTTGTGAATTATTCACATTTTAGTTTTGCAGTTATTACAAATTACGATTACTATACAGGTACTTATTATAATGGCTGAAAAGAGATCTTGCATGGGTACAATTGCGGTCAGACGGTACCGGTATCGCAAGAGTGTCTAGAGTCTAGACAACTGAGCAGTTAAGCAGCATTCTCCAATTCAATTACCTTCTACACATAAAAACAAATTTTCCCTAATTTTCGTACTCAATTCTATATTCTCTTATCATCATAATAAATATATTACTTCTAGTCAAACTTGTAGCATGGAGAATTCATAGAACATTTTCGTTTTGAATTTACTGAATATTGCTCAAGAAAATCAGTGAGTTAGAAACCCAGGAAACACCGTATGACAACGTTGGTCCCAAGCAGAAGCAAATTTTCTCAAAATAAAATCAAAATCGTGTGACAACGATGGGCCACGACGCGGCCCATCGTTATCAACCTTTTTTTTTTTTTTTTCATTTCACGTTTTTTTTTATTTCGTTTCAATTTTATTTTCGCTTTATTTTTAATTTTTTTATTTATTTTTTTATTTTTTATTTTTTTCATTTTTTTTTTTTTTAAAGTTTTTTCACAACTATTTTTTTATTCTACTTTTATTTTAAGTTTTTTATTTTATTTTTCAAATTTACGCGTGACAACGATGGGCCACCATACTTAGGCCCTCTAGCGCAGTGGTCAGCAACCTTTTTCAAGTGACGGACCGGTGAAGCTTGACCAAACTTTTGGCGAGATATGGTCGACATTGACACACGTAACGTGTTTCTTACTTCCTAGCCTATTTCGTTTTTGCAGTTATCAATATTGAAAATCAGGCCTCACATTAAGATTTCGGGAAAGTTAACAATGCTTGTATCGTTTTGTTGGGGAGATCTTAGTCGGACTGATGAGAGACATTCTTATACGGGCGTAGAGAAAACAATTGACCCAGCATTATTGCGACATACTGACATGGCAATTGTTTATTAAATCAGACATGTTGCTCCATAGAGTTATGCAGTGGTCGGCAAACTTCATATACTTGCGGGCCAAATATAAGCATTTCTGGTAGCGCGCGGGCCGCAATATTACCGCATTCGAACAATCGCTATCATAATTAAACTTCAAATTATGGCGCATTCGCATTGCTACTCTTCTATTGCTGTGTTGAAAGCCTGTCGCAATGAGATGTATAGGTGGAGTTTTATTATCCAACAATACATTGTTTTTATGTACTTATTATTAATGTGAAAGATGATTTTTTATGGCAACTCGTCGTCCAAATGATGATCTGACAAGCGAGTACGAAATTTAATCTAAGTGTAATGCATTTTGGATAAAGCTGCTCAAGGCCATATGTTCTTCCGGACGTGCACATTACACGTTTTGCACAGATGAGCTGTGGCACAGTCCCGGGGTCGAATTTTCGACGACTCGTTTCGTAACAAGTTTAACATTGAAACCCTTAACAACTGCGATGCTGACTAGGCATTTCCGTTCAAGCACTTTGAAATGCTCGACCCGCGTCGCTCCGTTTTCCAGACATTTTCAAATTTTAAAAATCAAAATTAACTCGAACGACATACAACTGACGCTACTTGTTACATAAGAAGCGCCGTACATTTGCGCCGTTCTATTTAAACTGATGATCTTCCATGTAAAGAGACTTGTGAATATTGAGAATAACAGGGAATTGAGATAAACCTTTTTTTTTTAAATGAGTGAACAAAAATAAATATGAATATCTGATATGACAATATAAAAATAAATATTTTGTGTTGGAATGAATTAATCAAAGCCAATACATCACAATGACCAAAACAACATTATAAGAAATTAGAATAATATAAATAGAGTAATTCATGTATGTTCCAAGTTACCTCCAGAATCTGATGCAGCAGTCTCGCTACCGAAAAACGAAAGTGCTATATTCTTGAGTACTTCAGCATTTGAACCAATCAGGCTCTAAAGATAGTTAAATAAATAATCAAATAGCAGGATGTAAAATGTTGTTTGACCACTTGGCACCCCTTGGTGATTGTGCAATCTTTCACTAGCGCATTTCACCAACTAAATGTGGTAATTGAATACCTAATTTACTGTACTTGACCCCCAACTTATGAGTTTGATTGCCACATGACAGATTTTATTATCCCACCATATACCAATACACCTAAGTAAATACGAACCCCTGAGATACAAATAGATTCGTGGAATTTTGGCATCGCAAACACTCAGGACTTGGCCTTTGTCCCACATCAAGCATTATGCAAACGTCTAGAATATTATGAAACCTTACCGTACTAAATACAGATATTGCATACACGAGTGTTTGAATAGGGATGCAAATGACAAAAGACTTACATCTTGCTCCAGAAGATTTCTGCGATATGAAAGCGACATCTTAGTCAAATCCAGTTGCTTGAAAGATCTGACAAACTGCTTTGAACGTTTCTTCTCATCAAATTTTGTCCAATTCATCAAAGCCAAGCACTTTTCTTCTTCAGTTGCCTAAAATGAATGAGATTTCCCTGAATATCAAACCCGTTATAGGGCTGTCATATAGATAACTACAGAGTTAACAATTTAGGTGGATGGAAGACTGCATTTCCATCTCTATAGTATTGAAACGCAAATCCATAGATCACGGACTAACAAATACTTCTTAGGTGAAGAGATGAGGCTTGTGAAAACAGTCATTTATAGGCCAAGTAAACATGAGCCGGCTAGGCGGACTGGCGCACCGTGCTAAGCATCAGAAATATACGCTTGCGGCACCTATGATTAACCTGTGTTGGTTCGCAGTTTCGAATCCTTTGGGGGGTAATAATGTGCGAGAGAATTGCTGGACTCGTTTCCCTCGGAATAAATATGTAAATCCTATCCAATAGTGCTACGCATTTATAATAAAGTTTAAATTTCAATCAAAGTGTGACTGAAACACTAAATTATGGTCTCAATAACTAATATTCCACTAACCGTGTTTTCTTTGGCGTTGATCATTCCCACCAACTGTTTTTCATTTATTTTCTTGAATTCATCCAGTTCTGCAATTTTTGCAAAGTTGTTGGAAGCAATTTTATCACATTTCTCTTCGAGTTGTTTCAGATCGTACAACTTCGAGATATTTATGGTGATGAAGTAAGATTTGGGACCCAAATTCTGTTCCAGATATTCAGTGACAATACCACATAATTCTGAGAAAGATTTGCATTAAATTAAAAATAAATCATTAAAAATTACATAATATAAGAAAAAATGGAGATATCCAGTGGTAAGTTTCACCATTATTTAACCCACTATGGCTCTAACCATTTTACCACAAAAATCCGAAGTATGTGAACCAAGATGGCGAACACTGAAACGTAGTATGTGTGCCAGGTTAGGGTTAGGCCTTAATTCCAGGTACAACGGGAGTCACTTGGATAGTCCGCGAACTCGAAATAAAACTAAAATAAGAAAATTGGAATAAAATTATGGCCCGACCCTAACCTGGTACACATACTTTGTACCGGTGACCGCCATCTTGGTTCACATACTTCGGGAGTACCTAAAATCCTTTAGGTCAAGTGGGGCATCCTTTAATACAGGAGGGCCATTAATAAGTAACTTGGTGAACTGGCAGGCCGCACTTTTATTTTACATGGATTTTCTGGTAGATGCAGACACAAAAATGTTGGTCATTGATCTTATGACATGCCTTGTTTGCACACTCTAGTTGTTAAGGCATTGTAAAGTCATAGACATATATAAATTGGACTCGAGTATAGGCTTCGGAACACAAAGAAATTGGAATTACTAGCACGTATAAAAATAAATTAAATCGAAAACTCGTTTAGCGGGCCCATCATTGAAAATTGGCATTTCTCTGCGGGCAGCATGTGATCCACAGGTCGCATGTTACACATTAGCTCGAAAAGCACTAAGTTGCTAAGTAGTCCCAACAGACAATTTAAGGAGACTTGCGCAGGCCAACTTGTTCGTGGTAAAATTTAGTTTTAGAGATGGAACCTCACAAAGAGCCTGAATAATTTCATAACTTGGATATGGGAGCCGGAGTCAGAGTCAAAATTTTTGGAGACCCGTCTTATGAATGGTTTGGAGTTTGGAATTATGTGTAATTTTTTCTCAACTCCTCAGTTTAGGTTTTTATAATTACCGTAAATGATATATATCCACTTTATTGGTTTCAAATAAAGAGTTTCAAGAGAAAAATGAACTCACTTGGCAGTAGTAAGAGATGTGAAGCCTGTATGTATGATGCGACATCAGATGTCTCATCAATGGGGAATTTGGAAGTATAGATATACTCGATAACTTTCTTAATAATATCCGCACTGAAGCCTTGGATATCAACTTCTCCTGACAGAGTCTCAACAGTCTGAAAAATAATTTTGACAGAAATTGCAGTTGTAAGTATATGCATCACACTGTCACTGTCACTTTGTCTCATATAACAAATGCAATGCACTAAGCTATCGTGCACGATGTTATCGAAACCCATATTGCACTATCCATGTCCATGGGAACCTTGGAAAGATTTCTGTATCCAAGGCAGATTTGTGTGTTGGCCTTATTAGGTTGAGTTTAAGCCCTGCTTACTCCAGAGTTAATCCAAACCATCTTGACATAGTATACCGTACGTACGCAGGTCGCAATTTTTTCCTTATATTTAAAAAAAAAAACTTCGTGAAAAATCGTATGGTCTGCGCTTGCGTGCGGTACATGCACCTATTATCGCTCAGAGGTGTCGATAAAGATATTTTGATTATATTAAGCCCTACAAAAAATAGGAAGTTATCTATGCAAATAAGCTAGGCTAGCTATGCAAAAATAATTTTGCAAGTTTTTAAAATTGATGAATAGCTTTACTAAGCAAAATGAATGCTGTCAAGTCTCACGAGGCCCACACATACATAGTAAGTAATATTAGGGCAACCCTTCAGTACCAAATTTACTATAAATTTACTTTGAAGTTTTTTTTATTGAAAAAAAAACAAGTGAAAAACACAAGAAAATTATCAGGCGACCCAGGTTTTGGGTTGCGACCAATAGGTTGAGAAACACTGGTCGACACAGTTTATTAAACCTTTGGTGAGGTGGTGGGCATGAGTTTTGATTCCATAACGATCAAGTCATGATTCAAACCTATAAACTAACTATAACTATATTTAAAGGTCGGATATTATAAATACACTAACCTCATGCCGAAACATTAACTTAAAATAATCAGTTGCAGTTGACAAAATAATCTTATGCACTCGGAATTTTTCCGAACCAACTTTGATCGTAAAATCACAATATAGACCAGCTTTCCTGTACCTGAAATAAAAATATATAATTTTAGTATCAACATAATTTTTAGTATGAGGTTTGACTATGCTTCTACATCCATTGTGTCAACAGCACTCATAGGTTGGGAAACACTGACCAAGACTGATATCAGATCAAACAAGCCATGAACTGCAATATCAAGTATTACAGAATTGAGTAAATTATTGAGAATTTAGGTTGAAAATATCTCTTTAAAATATTAAATCACTCATCTCTGCTATCCCTACTGTCAACTCTAATATAGGATAGGATTTACAAAATTATTCCAGGAAGAGGAAAGCCGATAAAACAGCTCAAACATATGGCGAACCATGGCCTCTCATCCGGATACTAGTCCATGTAGGATATGGGATTAGTTAGCTAGTTATTTTGTTTTCGGAAGCATGTACTTGATGGCGGAGAAAGCGGTAAGCAACCAGGGTTATGTAAACCACCCCATGGCAACGAGGAGTCCAACAATTCTTTCGTACATACCTATCCCTGCATTGAATTAGACTTGCGAACCCATGCAGGGTAATGGCATGGGTACGGGACAAATAAGAAATACGATTTCACAGATTTCAACGTACCGTATCCAACAAAATGGGTTGTCGAAAAGGAGTTGTTTTCAAGTCAAGGACAAAGATATGTTTTATAAACAATTTACAATATTCTTTTTTTTTTCGAGCATAATACCACCAAGCCTTGCAAAACCCGTCTACAAAATGATTTGATTTTCTGTATGAGGGATATTTTTCAGTTGAAAATTTGTCTATGTGTATGTTATTACCGGTACATCAGTATCTTTTTGAGGCAGTAGTTTTATGTTTTCATGGTCAAACTTTAACATATAATTAATAGCATATAATAATTAGCAACATGTCTGCATCCAACCCCAACCTGTAATAAAATCCACAGGAATAATATCCAATTCAATATCTCAAAGACCGCAGGTATACTTATACAAAAAGGTTTTCAGAGACTATAATTTAACAATTTTTCTCAAGAATAGTGTTCCCCTTTTTAACAATATTTTCTGGCTACACAGTCTCTATAAGTATAAACTGTACCATTCAATAGTTATTATTTGGTAAACTACACTAAACAAAGTTTCTTATGGCATTTTTCGCTGAAATAGTTTCTAGAGATGGCAAATTATATTATATACAGCCAAGGTGATTTTAACATGGGAACACTGAATTTTTATTTGCCATATTATAAGTACCTAAGTTGCCTTATCAGCTTAGTCAATAGTAAGTTCTTACACATCAGCAAATGCTTCCTTGTTGCCTTATTCAGAAAGAAAAACAGTTTACAATATTCATTTTTTTTTCGAGCATAATACCACCACGTCTCTTTTAAAACTCGTCCACAAAATGATTTGATTTCTGTATGAGGGATTGTATATTTTTCATTTGAAATTTTTTCTGCGTGTATGTTATTACCTGTACATCAGTATTATTTTAAGGCAATAGTTTTATGTTTTCATGGTCAAAATCTAACTTGTATTCATAATCAGCAACATGTCTGCAATCAACCAGACCTGGAATAAATTCCACAGGAATAATATCCGATTCAATATCTCAAAGACCACAGGTCTTTCCGAGACTATAATTTAACAAATTTTTCTTAAGAATAGTGCTCCCCTTTTTTAATAATATTTTCTTACTACACAGTTTCCATAAACTGTACCATAAAGTTATTATTTGGTAAACTACACTAAACAAAGGTATTTTTATTTGGAATAGTCTCTGTAGAAAGCACAGTACATATACAGACAAGGTGATTTAAACATGGGAACACTGAATTTTTATTTGTCATATTATAATTATGTTGACTTATCAGCTTAGTAAATAGTGAACTCTTACAGCGACTGCTACTATGCAGCCTTACACAAAATAAGATTTTCAGGTCAGAGACCGTTCATCAAACATAAACAGTCCTCAGTAATTCAGACTCGAAATAGTGTTTCTTCATAAATAGCTAGACTACTCCATCCAAATAAACTGTGAAAGTCAATGGTTTATTTAGAAATAGGAATCAAAAAATATCAAAATTTCAGCTACGGTAAATATCACCTAGAGAAGGCAAAGCAATGAAAGTATACTTACGATTAAGGTGATTCAAAACATGAGGACACTGATATTTTGATCGCGGTATTATGAGTATATTTTATGGTCTATTAATTAAGTTCACGGCAGTCACTGGAGTACCAAGAGTTACTGAAACTATATGATTGTATCAGTGAAATTATAAGATGCCTTGTATTCATATTAGGCTAACTTCTAGGTGGACTTTGCCCAGTTATTCAACTCAAGTTCAGACTCAAACATGACTTGAGACTCGGATGGCCCACAAGTGTACTTGTCTACTCAAAAATCAGGGACTGAGTATTAAAATTAAACAAAAACTATTAAATTCATGAAACCTATCCTGATAATAGTGTTCCTAATTTCAATAACTAGATGTGCTGGCTATACAATTCAAATTGAAGGTACTATTCAATATGTATAATTTCTGAGTTATATCTACCATAATCGCTTATAGAAGAAAAGATATATACAATTATGATAATAACAAAAATAGGAACACTGAATTTTTTCCACTTGAATACAATATTCACTTTATCTGTCTTCACATTATTTTTGAAACATTCTAAACATAGATAAACCTGATCTTAAACCAAAACAATTTTGAACTGGATAATACTAAACTTGAATCAATGGCTTAGTGGTTAGCGCATGGATTCTAAACTATCTTTAAATCACAAACTAAAAATAATGAGTTGAAATCAGTCCTGGGAAGGCTGGACGATTTGTCAGAGACTCAAAGTGACCTGAGTCAGCAACTCATATGCAAGTGACTGTTGGTGAGACTTAGCTCAGTGATTAGGTTGATGTCGAAATTGAAGTTGAACCAAAACTCAGTTAGCCATGGCTCAACTTTGGGTACTCCCATAGGGCAGGGCTACTCAACTATTTTCACTAAAGGTCCGTTTACAGAACTTCAAAATTACTGGGGTCCGGACATTTCAGAAAATTTATTTCATTATAAAAACGAAACACTATGCTTGGTTTCGTAATAGCATTTTAGATTGAATATGCCATTTACATTTACATTTAGATTGAATATGCCGACTTTCACCGGGCTTAAGAGAGTTGGTGCAAACGATAAAGGTGGTGCGCCATACCTATTAAGAACCCGAGTTGCAATGTGAAAATCTAGGGATAAACAGGTGATATAAACGCAGTAATCTGAGTTGGTGCTCCTGATTTATCCACTTTGTGTTCAAAAACTCTGATAGCAGACTAACGCAGAATGTTCAATGCTAATTGTTGATCACTGCAATCAAACTAAAGCCCATGGTAATAATACTGACTATCACATAATTTGATTTATACCTAAGCCTCAACTAAAAGCTGGCAATGAGAATGTAAAACAAAAAGTAGAGGTTCCGTAAGCCGTTCCTGACAGTCAACATAGGTGAAAATGCGTCTGGTCGGCTGCGAAAAATGTATTTGTTACGACACCTTTAAATATCGCTGATTAGCCAATGGTATAGACGTTGACAAGTTCACTAATACTCGAGAAACATATTGTTATTAGGTAACCAATTTTTTCGTCATTGGTTCAGTGAAAAATGTAAATAGTATCAAAATCATCTAACACTATAAAACGATAATTGTGCTGCCAAAATAAATGAGCAGACGCGGTCCGAATCGGGGTGTCGAAAGGTCCGGATTTGGACCGCGGTCCACCAGTTGAGTAGCCATGCCATGCCGTAGGGTGTGTACCAGATTGGAGTTAGTCCACAATTTTATACCGATTTTCAGTCCCTTAACACAACTTGATGTTAAGCAGGAGAACAAAATTAGTTACTTCCATATTGGTACACATACTCCTGTGAGCGCCCAACTTCGCACTTGGCCTCTAATTTGAATTAAGACTCACAGCCGCGGCCAAATTTTGCACTCAGACTCGAATTTGAATTAAGACTCGAACAGCCGTGACTCAACTTTGCACTCAGACATGACTCAAGACTTACATAACCAATGACTTTACTTGCGACTGAAGGTTTGGGGACTTTTACCCAACACTGGTCGAACCCCCAGCATTGGTATGATAACTTTGAGTTGCCATTGAGTGCCGTAAAAATCCAATTCGAATAAAGTATTCGAATGTATTCGAATATCTCGTCATTCGAATATCGGAATTCACGTTCATAAGAATATCGGATATTTGTGTGACGTCACACATTTTCGACGCCGCTTTCAAGACGTTTCCGTTGAATGAAAACATTCTCGATAGAAACTTGCGCGTGATTGTTTTATCACTCGTCAGCGTAACGTGTTATTTAGGCCCGCAAACGCCTTTACGATTGTGTTATTTTCTCTAAAACGAAAATTTTCCACAAATTTGTTCCACGATAACGATAACATTTATTTTATTTTTGTACGCGCACGGAATTGTGAATCTGGTAAATACGTTCATCGGCGGCGAGTTTCTAAAAACAACGCAACTTTTTGATTGAAAAGCGGCAATCTAAAATACTGAAAATAAAACCGTGAACAACATAAGTTTTATTGAGGCCCGCGAAAATTAAAAAAAACGCTCTTCTAGGCAGTGAATTATGTTTGGTCGGCGTTTAGAAACATATCGTCACTAATTGAGGGCGGGATTTGCCTGATTATCCATTACTTTAATATGCCGTCAAATATTCTCGGGTCAACACGATACAAGGTTTGAAACGCGACTTTTTCCCTGGTTGTGAGGATGTATATAATATAATTAATCTAAAGTATATTCAATCAATTTTATTGTGATGAAATAAATTTTACTCTTAGCATTTCGATCGAGCGGAGTCACTGTTAACAAGTACAACTAAATATTTGCCGAATTCGCAAAATACGGATAAAAACAATATTTAATCGGACAGTTTACCTCACGTTTTTATTTTTATGGCCGCGAATTGCAATGGTATATAAGAGTGGTGAGGATTTTATTTTGTC